GTCTCGTCGAGTCGTTCGATTCAAGCATAAGCTCGTCAAAATCGGAGACCGTTTGGTTACTAAAATTGCGGTCTGAATCTTCCAACAGCGCTTTGAACCCTTGATTCGGACTCATTTAGGCTCGGATTGGGTTGATCTTGGTGTCGTTGGGTTCGTATTTCCGAGATGCTCAGTTTGATTGTAAGCTCACTGAAATCGGAGTTCATATGCTCCCGAAATTAATTTTTGATATTTCCAACTAGTTCTTGCCTCGAGATTCGTAACCGATCAAGATGATTTTGTGATGACGTATCAAGAATCTTTACTGCAAGATTTTGTAAGAGTGCCACGTTACCACTTCTGTTTCGGCCCTATCCATTTCAGTCTAGGCCAAAATCGCACTAACGAGTCGGATCAGCAGCCGTTGTCACCGGTGGCGATTCCCCATCGCCGCGCTCTAGATCCGCCTCCGATCCCGAACCACCTCCCCAATAGAACCGCCGATTGCGCATCAGAAGCCACCGGATTAGCACCATCCTGCGGCCTGCAGATTTCAATGGCTGCACATCCGGCGATTCGAGCCCTGAACTTATCTGCTCTTCTTGCCCGCTCGAACTTTCAGCTCTACTCGCTGGAATATCAATCATAACTTCTAGGAAGCCGGAATCCGATGAGGAAGAACCCATCTCTTCCACCCGCTCGTAGGACAAGCGCAGTTCGTTCAAGTCCAAATCCACCAATGCATCGACGGTATCAACCGCCGGCCTTGCACCGGAAGTGGTCGTGACGACATCCTTCACCACCTCGACAGCTGCGCGGCAAAGCGGGCAGGTGGAGTGTGAATAGAACCACATATCGATACAATCAATGTGGAAGCGGTGACTACACGGAGGAAGGCATCGGATCTTCTCCCCATCTTTGAACTTGTTCAAGCACACGGCACATTCCGCCAATTCATCATCCTGGCCTTCCCCCGCGTAGTCCGAAAAGAGCAGAACGGGGAAGGATCCGAGAATTGAGGGGTCGAGGCCTCGATTAACTGCGCAAGGAGGCGCGGTCTGGCCCTCTCTAGCGAAGACAAGTCCCCGGCGGCGACGAGCCTGACGTGAGGCTCTGCGTATGACATTCCAGCGGACACAGAGGTGCAGAAAGAGGATGAGGAGCACTACGGTGAAGAGCACCACAATAGCACTGAGCATGATATTGCCGCTCAGCGCGTAGCTCTGTGGCGATTTTCCGTCTTCAGAGTGAGGATCCATTTCTGTTTCTTCCTTTCTAAGTATCTCAATTTCTTCCCCGCTCTCTTCTATGAGCCTCGGTTGGGGAAAGAGAAATGCTAACACTGCACTTTATAATCTTAGTAGATGGTTATGGTCACTGCGTTACTTGACCGGATGCTCGACTGTAGTGGGCCACAGTAGTATTGGGTTATCGTTAATCAATGTGAAGATATGGTAGTATGGGGATTGCGTGCGCCATATTGGACACGCGACAGTGAACGGTCTCGCGCGCTGTGTTTTTTTTTTTTTTAATTAATGAGCTCATCCGCCGTGTGTTGCTGCCGTGATTCTCTGCGAAATAACTGTGTATGTTTTCGCCATCCCGTAAATTTCACAAGAAAATAGAATTTGAAGCCAAAACATGTAGATTCCGGTTAGGTTAGTACATAAAATAATTGAGTATTTTTATCATATATATAATTTAAAATATAAATAAAATAAAATATAGTCTTACATATACCAGGCCATTTCGTCCAAGATCCTTTAAAGGATTTCGTCTAAAGCCACTCAAAAAAGAAATTACATCAGAGAGTAGAGCATGAACAAAAAGAAAGCTCAATGAAGAGCCAAAAAACCTGAACAAACAAGAGCAAAAGCTTACAGCTAAAGTGTAAGCAAAACATTATTAAAGTCCGTAAATGAGAGAATGACCATCGAGAAGAACCATGAACAAAGGGGTGCCAACAAATCGAAAGGCAACAACATAATTGATAAATTCAGTTCGATCAACCAAAAAAATTGGTCAACAGAAACCCTAGGTTGCCAAATGGCCATCTAGAAAGAAAATCGATTGCCAGCAGTTCCACCTAGCAACAGAAACGCCAGTTGGCTGGTTGAGTAGGCATCTCTCATCATAGTCAATGGAAATCCAACTAGACATGAAGAAGGATAAATTCGAAACAATCACATAAAGTAAAACTAAAAAACAACTGGGAAAAGCAACTTCAAGCCTTGCAGAATTTTTCCAATTACCCACTTTATAGGAGAATATTGCATTTCTAATAATGTTACAAACCATAGAGTAGTAGCTCCAGTTACTAAAAAGCCACATATTGTTCCTTTCCCTCCGCAAGAAATACAAAGAATAGCAAATAGAGAAGTGGCAAAAATGATTAACCTTACTATTTAGTTGTGATAAGCAAGCAAAATAATCGAACAATTGAAGCATAGAAGGCTTAGGTAAAAAACATTCCATAAAAGGTGTTGCGACTCAAGCTTACGAGTTTATATATATATATATATATATATATATATTGTGTTTGTACTAACTTTTCACGAATACCATGCACCATCCAACGAAGATTTTCTATAGTAGGTTATGCTATAATGATTTTTGTAATATTCATTGATAATTTTCTATTTCTTGAGTCAAGTCATATAAGGGTGTATGCTTGCTTGGTGACCATCCACACTCAAGGGGAGTTTGAGTCAAAACTAAAAGTTTAATTTTTGAACTAATCGTATTGTACAATTTATATCATACTATATGATCATCTCATCTGACTAATCATACCAGACGATCTAGATCATCCAATACGAACATTTAGAATAATGAAAAATATCTACCAATCATAATTTGGGCAAGATTTTGAATTTCATATTTTATTCTAATCATCTGGGATGATATACATCATTCTGGATGATCTATGAAAGTCATGCCTAAAATAATTTAGTGATTAGTCAATCGAATTTGCTTAATTTTGATATTCTTATAGTACTGTATGATCTGAATCGTATTGTATGATCTTGATCATATTTTATAATTAATAGAGATGAATTTTGGTCATCCCATGTTTCATCCTGACCGAATTGCCTTTCGATTGAACTAATCATCCTGAATGATCTAAATATTGTACTAGACGATATGTACGAATTTGAGCTGATCGCACTAGACTATCCAGAGATCATCTAGGACTATTAGGTCAAATTCTACACATTGTAATGTAAGATCATGTGATCATACTAGATGATTTTTGTTGGCAGAAATAAATTTTAGGGGTTTTGAAGCCCTCTATTTAAACTTTGTCAAGGCACATGGTAAGTGTTTTTGTCATCCATTTTGTCATCATTCTTATGAAGAAAACTTGAAGAGAGAACATGAAAAAGAGAGAGAAAATGGTGAAGTTTGAGAGAGAAAGATCATTGGAGGAGATTTTAAGGCAGCGTGGAGGAGATTTCACATGATTGCTTCGACAAGCTTGCAGCTTAGTACCATCAGATTCAAGGTTCGTATTAAGAAAAGTTTTAGGAAGAAGAAGATCTTTTTAGTGTCAAAGGACTAGGCTACTCCACCGTACTGGGGAAGGTGGAAGTAATTTTGTAAGAGCTTCTCTGCGTACTTATGGGGGCTAAAAAAGAGTCATTAACGATTTAGTGCAATATTTAGAGGGTTCCTCTAAGGAGTGGATGCAGGTCAGGATGGACTGAATTACTATAAATCTAGTGTGTTCTTTTCTTTTATTATTTATGTATTTACTTTTCTTGCGATTCACTGTGCTAGTGAAATTGTTGATTTATCTTTTTATTGTAAATTTAATTCATTTCCACAACAAGTTTAAAAGGTTTTTTCTTCATTGTTAAAGAATTTTTTAAATACCAATTCACCCCCTTCTTAGTTTGCCTTGGGACTAGTATTTTAGGTTTTAAAAGCCCTAATAAATTTTCAAAAGCAAGCAATGTAGATATGAGACTAAAAGGGAATCACAGTAAAAAAATATGTGATGGTGTGATCCATTTGATTTGATGCAGAGGTAGCAAGTTTGGTTGATATCAATTGATTTTGTAATAAGTACATCCATAGTTTTAAGCCCATAAAGTGCAGCCATCCAAGCATAGGAAGAAAATCTAAGAGAACAATTTTTGTGCCATATGAATTTAACCCACAAGACCGTTTGTAAATTCGAGAAGTAGTGTGAATAAAAAAGTTTTGAATGTAGGTGTTTTGATAGGAACCTAGGTAATAGGGAAGGGGGAACAACTCATTATTGATAAAATTAAGATATGCTGCTTTACTGCATCTGGGAAGTTATCAAAAAGAGCCCAATAACCATTATAAATTAAGTTTTTCAAAGCGAAATATGAGATTATTGGTGGATCAAATTATTCAGCCCAAGCTTTATGCTTGCACCAAGGGTTCCAAAATCTAGACAAATTGCATTTAGTGGATGCAATATTATTACAAATGCAGTCTCTAATCTTTATGGAAATACCACAAACAAAATTTCATAATTTATAAGCATAGGCGAAAGGATGCTTATAAAGGGATCTATATTTCGATCTAAACCAAATTGCATTAGGAGATTTAGTAGAGAACAACCTCTAAATAAGTGAACACCCAAGACCATGGATAAACCTTGAAAACCAGGGACACCCAAGCCACCACATTTCTTAGGCCAATAGGTATTACTCCATGCAATGAGGTATAAATTTCTTTCATTGATGTTCCCATAAAATAAAAATCTTGAGAACATCCTTTTAATGATTTTATAGTGTGGCTTAGGAATGATGGCCACTCTAATACAATAAGCCAAAGTATTTGAGATTATGAATTTTAAAAATTTAACTCTATTTTCAAAAGACAAAAATTTTACTTTCTGACCATTAAGAAGAGTGAAAATTTTACTCAGGAGTGTCTAAACGTTAGTAGAGAAAAGCCTTTAAGTAGAAATAGGCAATCTTAAATACTTTAAAACTAATTTAGAGTGGTGATAGCCAAGAATAGAGTAGGTATTAGTAGTAGCAGATCAATGAGGTAAACAAAGGTTATAACTTTTGTCTTGGTTTACATATATCCCAAAGACAATAATAAAGGAGGAAAGGATATTGTTAAGGGAGATAGCATTCTGGGTAGATGCCAAACCAGAAAGGTGTAAGTTATCTTCAAATAGAAGGCACTTATAATTTTGACCATCAGGCTTAAAACCCAAAAAATTGTACGATGGACTGGGATCTTTAAGGAAGCAAGAAAAAGCATCCATGATAATACTTGAGAGCAGGGGGAAAGAGGGAAACCTTACCTTAACCCAAAGTTAGAATTATACTACCATTGAAGGGCCTCATTGATAAAAATATAGAAGTGCACATCATTGATACAACATTTAATCCATTCAATAAACATGGCATGGAATATATAAGTACTATCTCTTATAAACATTACTACCATTGAGGCAGTATCAAAAGCCTTGTTATTATCAAGTTTTGCACATAAGTACTATCTCTTATAAACATTAAATTCTGCTAAACATTATGAGGCTAAAAGTTTGAAGCTGAAGTTTGGCGGAGGAAGACGAGTATCCCATAGATGGACAAAAGGGTAAACTTCTTTGAAGCTTCCAGATAAGTGTTGGGGTGTTGTCATTAGACTCCAATGAAAAGTTATGAATTTATGGTTTTATGATTTCGAATGTAAATATGAATTTCATTTAAAATATAGAAAAGTTAATTAGTGGGCAAGAATTACAAGAAATTAATCTTATTCTTATAGTGTATAATAATAAAAATCTTAACAAATATTTCATATATAGTCAATAAGTCATTAAAAAAGATGCTCGATCTTAAGTGGGGTTCCTTCTAACCACTCATTTAGAGCTATTATAGGGGCACATCATAGGGGATAAACAAACTCTACTCACTTGTGCCTACCAAGGAGTTTTTCATGCATGAGGAAAATCAGAGATGCCATGTCAAACCTCCACTCACCACTACCTCTCTCACTAGTTGTCCCCTAGATTTGATGTTTCCAAGCTCAGTTATGGAAGGGAGCCGATTAAAAGAATTCATACTATTTAATTACAACTATTTGGCCAAAATCTCTCTATTTAAGTTATGTAAACTCATTTTTATGTTTATTTTTATTATGTTAAATTCCAGTAAAGATATGTGTTTTAGTTGATATTGTGCATAAATGTCTCAAAATAAAAAAAGGAGCAAAGATTGCAAATTTAAGAACCAGACCCGCAACATCTTCAGAGACCTAACATTAAAATAGGACATTGTAGCAATGGAGACTCAAGAAATTTTCATTTAATTCAGTACCCCGGTGAAAGAAAGGTCAAC